CAATTTTGTCACAAGAAAATCGCTCCGTCAGGAGCGATTTTACCCTTTTGGTTTAAAAAATTAAATTGATGTGCTCTTTTGAAAATTTTGGCAATTTTTTTTACCCTTTTGACTCCGGACTCCTGTTTCATACAACAATATAATATTGGTTTAACCATCACTCTATAAAACTTATCTTTAGACCTTGGCGACATGTTCTTATGGCGCATTATCTTAAATGCGAGCCTCTATTTCATTCGTCCGTCTTCAATACGATATACAACATTATTGTCAATCTCCTTGTAATCCACATTACAAATAATTTATTAAAGTATATCAAAAAGCATTAAATTATTTAAGATATTTTACGTACTGATATTTAAAATGTATATACATTTTTCAGTTGATTATATTACGTAGCATGTTAAATTAGTCTAGCTTTGCCAAAAAGTCACTCTCATTTCTTTCAATAGAAAAAAATTAATAAATTCAAAGTCCATATCTTCAGCGAGAATTTATTACTTGCTATAACATACTAAAACGATAGCAAATGTTTTAAAATTTTGGATGACCCCCCCATGTTACCACTTATATATAAAAAAAAAAAATTAAATACAAAATCGTGACATTATTTTAAGAATTGATTTTAACAAGCTAACGGCCAGTCTTGCTTAGTTGCTTTGAGAAAAAGCAACTACTCTTCTCTCTTTGAAGTCAATATTTTAGTTTAAAGTGTAAAAATGTTTTGCAATATTATCGTTTGATGTGAGGGATTAGAAATAATAGTGATGAGATAAAGAAATAGTGATGGGATAAAAAAAAATTATGTTGTTTGGTTGCCATGTTTGGGATAACTTATCCCACCATTTATATCATAGTGACGAGATAAGTTATCCCATATACATGGTGGGATAAGTTATCCCACGATAGCTAACCCCGGGATAACTTATCCTGGGATAACTTGTTTCCAACCAAACGAAGGGACTATTTTGAGTCTACCCTAATGGTAAAAAACAATCTTCATTCATTAATCAAATATGTATCTTGTTTGGGATAAGTCGATTCACCACTTTTAAAAAGTATTTTCTTTATTTGAACCATGGTTTAGCTTATTCTAATGAAAATAATAAATATAAGATATAATTTAAATTACAAAATTACCCTTACTTAATAAAAATAGATTGATTATTTTTTCTTAAATATCACGTATTCTTCTTTATATTTAAGAATATGTTAGTCAATTTTCATCTTCAATTTCTGAGTAAAAATTCTTTTAGAACAATTCTTTTGAACTAGTCCAATAGTTATTATAATATGGGACGAGTTCAGGTTTCTTGGAATATCTTGTTGGTTTTCTCGTCATCAATAATTTTGTTTTAAAAAATAATATCTTCATTATTTGTTCAATAAAATCTAAACAAGAAAATCTCTTGGAAGAAATAAACTGCTACTAGGTCATAACGTATTAGAAATGACTAACAAGGATTGAGTGATAAGTACTCATTTATTCTTAACTCGATGACTTAGATTCAAGTTCTCTGGATACGGAGAACATTTTATCCTTAAAATTTTTCGGTACAAATTTAAATTTAATCAGACTCCAATATTAGTACTGAACATCGAGAAAACCAAAAAAAAAGAAAAGTATTGGGAATGAATATGATCAGTTGACAGAAAGGAGATATTAAATTATTTGTGGTACGAAATTGACCAATATATATCAACTTTTGCAGCTCTTTCTAGTCTAGGAAAAAAAAAAGGAAATATAATGGGCTATATTTAAACCAATGGCTCAATAACATTTATTGCAACAAAATTAAGAAAAAAAAGGCACAAAGGATAAATGTCAACTCATAACAATTAATACGATTTGAGACAATTTGATATAAAAAATACTCAAAATTTAAGATTTAACGCCCATAAAGTATTTATATTTATATTGCCTATACAACTTGTGTCTTGTTTACCTTACCAAGAAAAAAAAACTTAAAAACTAAAACTTCTTTAGCATAATTGGCTGTGACAAAATCGACTAAGGAAAGATTCAAATCGACTAAAGGGAAAGTGGATCTTTCCCTAGTCGATTTTGTCCTAGATAAAAATAAAGAGAATTAAGAGCGGTTATTCAACTCAGATCAATTAATTTATTTTAGATTTTGAGTTATTAATTTTGTGTGGACAACGTTAATATGGATAAAATAATGTTACATGACATATTATTTTTTGTTGAACAGAGTTCATAGTAGATTAATTTTTGAAATGTAGCATAAAATTGTGTATAATAGATCGTTATGTTCAATCTTTTCTTAAATCTCGTATATAACAAGAACTTAATGTGTCGAATTGTTTTTTTATTGTATCGAATTTATCTTGTTTTCTTTGTTCTTTCTCTTAGAAATTTTTTTAAGAAAAAGAAAAGAAAGACTGAAAATTTTGAGTTTCGATCCAAAACTTTAGTGTAACAATTGAAACTGACTCCGTCACTAAGGTCTTTAACTAAAAAATAATTAAATCTAAATCACTCCGTTTCTTTTAATTGTTTACTACTTTAATTATTTTTTATCTTAATTTTTACTAATCATTTTAACAAATCAAGAAATTTTTTTTTCTATATTTTACCTTTTATATTAATTACTTATTTCGCAGATCATTTTCAAGACTTAATACTAAACATCAGCTAATACGAATATTATAATAAAAAAATTCATATCAATTATTGTTTCTTAAAAAATATGTAAAATCCAAAATGAAGAGGTAAAAATAAACAAAGGGAGTAATGATAATAGGAAAAATCCTTTTGGCCAGAATGGTAAAATAACATATTCACACTATGTTATTTTACCTTTTAAAATATTTTTACCCTTTTAACTTTAATACCTTTTAATTAAAAATAGAAAAAAGATCAGTTTATTTTAATAAAAGAATATTATAAACTTTTTAAATTTTCTGGCCAAATTTTGACAAAATTTTCTGTCCATTTAGTCTGTTGGGACCGGTCAGGACATTAATATCAACGTATAAATTTACCAATAATAATAATACTCTGATATTTTGGTCCGTTGGGACCGGTCAGGACATTAATATCAACGTATAAATTTACCAAGAAAAAGGTACACATTTATTGCAGATATAATTAAGTGAAAAAGGACTTTATTTTTGCTCTTTATTTGCCAACTTCTAAGAGTTGTTTGAGGCACTACTACTCAGAGCTTGCATAGGTGATTAGTTATGGAAAAATTAGCGAGAATGATATTTTATTTATGTTATTTCCTTTTTTAAAATATTTTTATTTTTTTAATTTTAATACATTTTAACTAAAAAATGTTTGAATTGAACACACCGTTTACATGATCATTGAATTCATTTCATTAGTTTAACAGTATAATCATATATTTATGAAATATCAATTACCCATAATATACATAAGTTTGTTCTTACTTTCAAGAAAGAATCTTTTCACAAGAAATTAAGAGTTTGAGAGACGAAGAAATTATAGATTTATGTAAAGTTCAAGAGTGAGTTTCTTCTGAACTCCTTTAATTTTTATCGCTTCTTAAGCAGTATAATGGTTAGAAAACTTCTACTATTATATCTCAATTTTTTTATTCTTAATTTTAAATATATACAACTAATTATATGTTAGTCATCTTTTTAATATGAATTTGAGTTATCCGCATGGATGATCCGATTCAACTAATTTCCTTCAACTATAAAAATATACAAACATGTTATGTTACATATTTGATGCTTGTAACTGGATTTGCAAATGTTAAAAGATTCTTTTAACTACAAAAATTTACAAATATGTTATGTTAATATGAAAAGATTCTTTCTCTACAGGTTTAAAGTCGAACTGGTTTTGCAAATGTTACTAGGTTATTTTTATTATACGTAGACACAGAAAAATGTCTTCTACAAACCATAAAAAGAGTTTGTAATATTCTTGACAAAATGATTGTTGAATGTCAAAAGAGTATTATAAGTACATCTAATTGGCTAGAGAGAGTGTTTTATATAATTAATATATAATCACTTATCTCTACTCAATTTTGTTTTAGTATATATATATATAATCTACTAGTATAAAAGTTTGAACCATACCGCTTTGATAATCGAAGATAATTACATATAATTTTATTACAATCACTACATGGTATATTCAATTTCCATCTTAGATTGTGAACTTAAACTTGACGACACAAACACACTTGACAAAATGTTTTTTTAATGTGATCCATTCACGGAATTGTTGAAAATGTCCAAATAATGAGAGACTCGTGAAATTGAAAATATGACATGTTCATTTCACTTTGTAATTGTATTTGTACACTAAAACAACTTGGAAGCCCTAAGAGACAAGTTCTATTGATTTGAAGGATGTGGTATTTTCTTTGTTTAATATTAGTTAGTTATTGGCCTAAATAATTCGAATTCTCCCCCCGCTAAGGGAATGGGAAAGCAGTCTCTCCACGATATCTCTGATTAAGGATTGAGGAATTCTAGCAATTCCACCTCCTCCTGGTGTCATCAGTGGCTATGTGATAAAATCTGAAATTGCCAGTTTAAAGTATAACAAGGAAGCACATTTAATCTTTTTCTTCATTTCATGGATGAAAGCTAGCACAACAAAAACAGGTATATAATATCTGTCTCTTTGCCCCATGTTTTATTTTTTGTAGCTTCATTTATTGTATTTTCTTATTTTTTGTAGCTTCATTTATTCTAACCTTTCCCTTTAGTAATCATGTTATTCTCCTTTTCTTCCATGTGTATTACTACCTATTGCTTCACTTGCGTTGTATCAATCTTGCTATTTGTTTGTCATATTATCTTACTACCATTTCTTTTCTTGTCTATCGAGCCGAGATCTATAAGAAACAACATCTCTACTTAAAGGTAGGGGTAAGATCTGTTCACATTTTATCCTCTTCAGACCCCACTTTTCGAAACTACACAAAGTATGTTGTTGTGGATCATTGGTGATTCTACCATGCCATAAAAAAAGAGTCGCATAAACCAAATAACCAAAAACTCAACAATGGATTTATAGGAATATTGTCTTACAGCCAAAAATTTCAACAATCAGCAGGTTCAACTGCTATCTTTTTTTCCCTTTACAGCCTAAATAATACTCAAGCTTACTAAAGGGCTTTTTACAATAAATCATAGACTTCACAAGAACTTTGGTATATACTGCAAGCTAGAAATGAACCTAAAGAATAAAGCCATCCTCATAACTTTGCTAAAAATAATCGCAGAAATAAGAGGGCGTATATATCTAGATGCTCGGGAGATAAACAACTATGTACACAAACTAATGACTTCACCGGGGACGAGAACAACTTAAAAGGGAACAGAACTCAGAGGATGCAAGCCATTAAGCATCAGAGTACGTATCTTTATGTTCCCCTTCACCAGTGTACTTTGGTTGATCAGAATCACCATCATCAGACTCTGACTGTGGGGTTATACTGCTTACCGTGCGAAGAAGTTCACAAGGATTTGAAGATTTTTGGGAGCACCAATTATCTGGAACACTTAAGAAATGTGTGTCAATGAACTTCCTAAATCTCTTATAATACTCTTTTGGAGATACGATAGTAGGAAGCTGATTCTTCGGAACCACAAGTGAAGATTTGACCCAATTCTCGAGTTGTTTGTCCCATGTATATTGTCTGAGATAGTCAATGATGCCACAAACAAGTTCATGGCGTTGGCTATCCACTCCCACAAGTAGAGAATAGTCCATCACATTGATTGACTGCAAAAATCAACAAATAGTACCAGTTTTAGAAGCTAATCCATTAGCTTCAGATAATGCATACTCCTTCCGTTTCAATTAGGTTGCCTGATTTTGACTTGGCTGGAATTTAAAAAGTAGAGAAAACTTTTGCATTTTGTGGTCTCAAACTAAAGATACGTAAAATGTACCAAAATGCCCTTAAATCTTGTGGTCTTGAACAAACATGTCACGGAAAGTTAGAATTAAAGAGTTGCCAAAAAAGGAAAGATACATTCTTTTTGAAACAAACTAAAAAGGAAAATAAGACGGACCAAATTGAAACGGAGGGAGTAATAATTATAAGAAGCAGAAGTGACTTTTTATTGGATGCTTTTAAGTTTTGGTGGATAGAGCTACCAGTAATTAGAGTTTAGAGCAGTTTGACCCCTGACTTACCTTGAGGAAAGTACAGTCATTCCATACAGCCCGTTGCAAAGCCCTCTTTGATCTTGTCCCGACATATAAAGGAGAAACATTCATGTCATTCACAAAGTTTTGGTCTAAAAGAACGTCTCCTGCACCATTGCCAGCTGCACTAAATCGAGCATGCAAAGCGCCTTTCAGATCATACTGCCGAGTAGTAATTCTACCAAATGAAAGGTTCTCCATCACCATGAGATCGTGCCTAGTCTCTTTTCCACCTCTTGGCCTTACACTGACCTGAAAAACATAAAACAGTAGGAACAATCAAAAAGATGTCCAGAGTGTGCTGGCAGGAAGAAACAATATATTGTGGTAACAGCCAGAAAAGTGGAGTGACTAAAGTCGATTAATCAACCTGATAAATGCCAAGAATTTTTGCAAGGCAGGTTTGATTCCTCTTAGCATGGCACTGATCCATGTATGCAAAATAACTAGGAGCAAACTTCAAGAACGAGTCAAATTCCGCTCTCTTAATTTCCTTGATGATAAACCGATCATCAACTGTTTTGGCAAACAAAGAGTTACTTTTGCCACCTTTTGCATCCCAGCTCCTACACCTACTCAAGGAAGCAATAAAATCAACTTCTGAAGTGCACCATCGATCTCGCAATTGACGAAATTGGCTGGCATAGAGACAGAGGACTGAGTATTTATACTTCCCAGTCAATTTACCCAAACCCATGGAGACTTCCGCCTGAACAGCCGTGAAAGAAACCGATGAATCTAGCAAATCTACCCCATCTAAACTTGATGAGCGTGCTACCTCTGACATGTTCGAAGAGTGATACGCTGTTAAATCCAATGAACCAGTTGAAGACAAATGTGGAGAAGCTAGAGAGAACATCTGCATTAAGCCTTGTGAACTCTCATACGCCTTAGGATCAATTCCTCTATCTTTTCTGCCATCATGCCCAAGATCTTCACATACAATAGGCAAATCCTTCAGCAAGGCCAAAGCACAGGCAATTATGCTAGAAAATTCATCTTCATAATCAGAAACAATGTATTTATCACTTCCAAGGGGAATGTGAAGCTTCGCACTCATGTCGGTAATAAGTTTATAAGTAGTAGATTCTACATCATGGTTTGTGATAGATCCTAATTTCGGTAGGTGACCTCTCTGGAGATCCTCCATGTATTGACACCAAATTTCAGGGAATGGAGTCCACCACCCCTCATCATTCTCTATGTTGGAAAATATTGAGGAGAGGGATCTACTCCTTTGAGAATGAATAGGATCATGCGTACCCCCAGCATCAACGGCAATTGGTTTATCCGTCTCCAATTGAATGGATGAAGGAAGATTGAGCTGTAAGTTACTTTCATTATCAAAAAGGCAGTGATCAGAGAGATCAGATTTCACTGTAATATCCTGAAGGGAAAAGTTGTTTCCATTTACTTTGGCTGCAGTTGTCACCTCAGCACCATCATTGCAAGCAGATAAATTTGATGGTTCATCTTGTCCACAATCATGTGTATCAACGGGAGTTTCTTCAATGGGAAATTTAGCAGATGATTCAACATTCGGTTTCAGATCATAGTCAGCATCCAAAACATCACCACGACTTCCTACAGTAGTTTCTGTCCTACTGTTATCATCTCCACAAGAGTCTTCAACTAGCTTGATTTTCAGATCCGGACAATCTTCCAATGCTCTGTCATCTCTTTCCAGATAACCTTTAGTGTCTCCTTTAACATTGCTTCTCTCTTGTTGTTCCCTGTGGTTAATAGCATTGATACTCTGGTCAATAGTTTTGGGATTGGCAGCGGTACAATCAGATGATAGTAATGAATGAAGACGGCGATCCCACACACAGGACACCAGCAAAAGCTCCAGCCGTATTCTATTCAACATTAGAAGTTTATACATGACGACATCCCGATTCCCATCCATAACGACATTTTGAATACCAATCTGACATTGAATCCACATAGATTAGTAAAAGTAAAATAAGATTTACATTATGCTTTAATAAATGTCTGGAACAAATAAATCGTAAATGAGTAAGGCAATAGGTTTGGATATAGCTTCACCATCCACACATGCACGTAAATGCATTTGACATTTATCGACTTATACCTGAACATCGATTCTCATTAACCAGAAAATCAGAAAGCTATCAACTCTTTAAAGCATGTACTTGTATGTATTTGACATCTGTTAATATTATTGTACCCTAGCCAAAATATTATCAAAATCATTTGCTCAGTCACAGAAGTGCAAGGTTGTAAGTAACCAAGTTATTACCGTGGAAAAAATGAACCAACTGATCTGATTAATTCAAAGGGAACTTAGAACTAGAATGACAGTCCACCACATCGACATTGATCAAATAGAATGCAACAGGAACAAGTAATCTGAAACTGGAAGCAAAAAGGAGCTAACCTCAAATTGAGTTCTCTCTTCCTTCAACATTTTCTCAATTTCAGAAAATTTCTTAATTGATCCTTGAAGATTTAGAGTAGTTCCAACAAATCGAGACTCTATTGCCTTCAAAGCTTTTTCTACGTCACGAAACATCTTAATCCCTTTCATGTTCACCTAGTTGAGAAAGAAAAAAAAAATCTGTCAATATAGAAAATTGCAACAGGGCATGTAACTTCCATGTTCAGCCAAGTATTTAAAAGCATCAATTGGGTAAAAAGCAGTCGCACTTGTAAAAAAACATACATCTTCAAAATCCTTCTTAAGAAATTCTTCATTGACAGAACTGCTAAATTCCAGCTTTTCTGGAGGAAGAGCCACGGAGTAAGTAGTAACCGTTGAGTACTTAAACACCGCAACCATATGCCCTAACCTGTACATGCAGAAAATGACATGAATATCTTCAAAAAGGGAAGATAAAATATGAGAAAACACCAATTCCAAATCCATGCAGAGTCACTAATAGCAAACGATTCAACTTAAATCTAGAGTAATGTCAAATGGAAATTTTTATAATAGATAGCAAAAGCTATCAGTAGGCTTTGCTATTAGATCTGCACACATGAAAATAAATAGAGACTTCTGAATAACTAAAGATAGCCACAAGTGACCATACCCAAAGAAGTAGAGGAAATCCCTGTGCAAAGAATGGCCACAGATAGGCAGCCTATTGAACAAAGAGGAATTTGAGAACCTGAGCTCCAAAAATTTTCCAAATGAAAAACCACGCGAACCAGTGGATACTAAAACTCTTTTCGTAGATTTTGAGCTGCCAATCTGGAACTTGCATCTACCACAACGACTCCACATCCAAATCTTCCCTTCCCTTTCACCTGGAAGCCCCTTGTCTTTTGGAAGAGAACGAACTTGAATTGCAAGTAACTTATTGTAATGTGCATAATAGAAAATGTGAGCTTCAGGGGGTCCATCACAGCTCTTGCATGGGAGTTTCTGTATGACAGAGCTTTTAGGTTAACATTTAAAACAAACTCCAGAGTAACTGATAATGATAAGGCCACAATTTTATTTCAAATAGATCATTATAGCAACTATTAAAGATGAAATCAGCAAAATGACCACCAATCATTCCAAAGAAAATTGTTCATCAAATTGCAACTACAGAGACAGAACAAGAAGAGCTGAAGTGAAGACTATTGAGTTCTACGCACCTGACTTAGCAAATTTTGCTGCAAAAAGCTTCCAAGCGGAATATCAAAATTTTGGTAGAACTTTATGCGAGAAAAATGACCATGGGCACACATAGTCCCTTTTGAAGCATTCCGGCTTGATATCAGAACCAATATACTCTCAGTATCCATAGATTTAACACCATTACCCATATTACCAGATACCTGTGATTCTAAAGATTCTCCCTGGCTCACTATTGGAGTATGCAACTGTTCTTTTTCGGATGCCATCTCGTCATCACAAGTAGTGACTTTCTGATCTGTATCACTTTGATTAACCACCTCAGTTGCGTCAGGAACTTGAGTATCAGTTTGTTCCTGATCATCTTCATTGGATCCATTATCAATGAAACATGAGGGCATGGATTGACCAGAGGTGGGGCAGAGAGGAAAGTTGTCCCCCATAACCTTTTTCAGAGAGGCTGAGAGAGATGACAACCCAGAAAGAACTGGATTATATGGTTCAAATAACAGAGAATCACCTTGTTCACCACTAACAGCTGGAGGGTCATCAGTAGCTGTTGAATTCACCACCTGGTTAAGAGGAATAGTCGAGAACATTGCTTTTTGATCTAGAAGGAAAGAAGTCTCGAGGATTAAATTATATGCCATGATCACTGCACATCGTACCACACATTTGATCTTTTTCAATTCATCACTGTTAGCTCCCATTAACAAAATCTGCACAAAAGGCCAGGGTCAGAGGTATAGAAGTAAATGTTCTTTATTAAAAATGAAAGGGAGCAGATGTTAAAACACCAGGTATCAATTCTCTATTAGAGTCCAAAGCCACTAGCTAGGAGGATCTCGGAAGTTTCAATAGCAATTAGCTTGTTTGTTTGTTGGTATACGAGATAAGTGCATGACTATATTCGCTTTTTTCACAAAGATTCCTAAGATTATGGTATTCCATCCATTTAAAACAGTTGCAGTCACAAAAGACAAAAACCCCAGCATTGATTCAAACGCGAGGGGGTCAAATGAAAGCAAAACTAACTCTTATTATATGATCTGGGAAATGCTATGCAAGTCTCCTGATGTACTCTAGTGTATTGTTCGTGACCTTTTTTGTTATCTCTTGAGCAATGACCCAACAGTGAAGCTATGTCCCAACTATCAGTAATCCCTAGTTAGATATTCTGTGTCATTAAAACTAACATAGGGAAGATGACTCACCGTACATCCCAGATGAGTAGGACAGCCCTCAATGAACAACAGTGTTTTACTAGGCCTTTTTCCACCATCATCAAAAGTGTCATGTTCCTCTACGAACCTTTGAAAATGAAAGGAATCACACTGTCTAAGCTTATGGCCAGACAAGATTTCAGAAGAAAAGATTGGTGAAACAGTGCAACGAGCAACTCTCTCCAGGCGATGTTCTTTCATATCAAAGACCAGTGTCCATCCTTTCCTGAGAATAGACTCTTGTATGTCACGAGAAACTGTTTTCTCTACCAATATCACATTTGGCTGATACCTCTCTAGAATGTCAGTGATAGACTTCACCACACTGTCTTTCTCCTGTCATTATTAATTGATAAGAACAGATGATTCCATACTCTAATATATTCCCTTTTTGTTTATCTCACATATATAGAGAGTTTCTTGTTTACCTGTCGCATTGACTCAAATGATGACAACTCACTTGAGAGACCTAGTGCACCCTCAATCAGCAGCAGCCTAGGTTTTTCAAACTTAGTTGGCATATGTTTATGTGCAGCATGCTTTTTGAAGACCATGCCTTTGATAAATTGACTAAAAAAACATGAAAAATTACAATGTAAGCCTGGGTTCCCCCTTTGTCTTAAATTTAGTCTTAGATAACAAACATGCAGATAAGAAGTAGAATGTAAATTGTACTGTATTTAAAAGGTAAGTCCACAATTAGAGGTAAGGTTACTTTCTAGGAAACTTGAGATTTTAAAAGAATAACGATGGTTACATGTAACCTAAAAAAAAACATTCAGAAAGTACTGAATAGTGAATGGAAATTGTTATCATTTTTTTAAATGAATGACTCCATTTTGGGACAGCCAAAAAGGTAATATTCAGGATATGAGTAACTAAAGTTAAGCAGATATTCAAGCATAGACATTAGTGGAAGTATGGCAGAGGAAACCAAAGAATAAGGAGGATTGACAAGTGCGCACATCCAATGGCAACTGCTACCCCCAACTTCACAAATAGAGGACAACTATCAAACACTAGGAAACAGATAGTTTTCCACTTTGACAATCCAAGATTTAAACTGAACTAGAAAGGAAAACCAATTAAGAGATGAGACATGTCGTCATTCTGTTATACCTTTGGCTGGGAGAACCAGATCGTATACATTTTATCTTCACATATTTATTAGGATCCATGGCCTTTCCTTCAGCAGAATCAGGCTTCACAAATGAAGCAGCCTCCCAAGACAAGGAGGTGACTATATCAACCCAATTGTCACCCCCAGATGAGGCAACACCAAAAGACTTAAGAAGGTCATAAACAAGGGCCTTAAGCTTCCCATTCATCACTTCTTCCAATGCCTTCCTCTTTTCCTCTTTAAATTTGTAGCTCCCAGAACCTTCATCTCCGAGGCTGATTAAAGAAGTTGGCTTGCCCCAGCCATCGCCGCATTCATCATCATCACAATTAGCCACACTGTCTTCCATATCATCATCACAACATTCTGGTTCTGGGGGCACCCAGAACTGATCCAGTTCATAACTAGAAGAGACTCCAGATTCATCATAGTCATCCCCTTCAACTTTGCTGCAGGAGTCCTCTTGACTGCTCTCTGTGCTACATTCATCAATATTAACCCTGAACAGATTAAAACCAAAATGAAAATCACATTGACATGTGTCAGACTTACCTCATTTCCCAAGGAAAAGAAGACAGGTATTTTAACAACATAACTAAATTACAACTAACCTCCCATCTGAGCTTGCATCACCTGAAAAGTCACCTGAATGATAAAAGAATAAGGAACCAACATGAGGTGATGATGCAGAGAATGAAAATGACAGTCAAAACTATGTGATTAAGAAAGGAGAGCATACTGTAACATGACATAGAGCTGTTACTGCTATGCAATGAAGCAGTCGGACTGATCAAACAAGTTGTAGTATCTTGCTTTTTGCCACAAAACTTGCAAAACGTACCAGAACTTCTATCATCTATTTGCATAGAATTCTCATTTTCTAAATTCTTCATGTTTCCGCTCGATCTTGTCAGAATACCAGAGTAGTGACATGTATTACATCTGATCCAGGAATGTTTTAACCTGCAGATTTGACCCACTCAATTGATTAAAAAGTGTCCAGTAACTAACAAAATAGAAGGTTCCTTCAAACAACAGAGTAATGCAGTGATAATAATCTTTCAAACGAAATCATAAAGTGAAAAGAATACCATGTTTATGAGAACAAGAATGAAGATGGAACTTATCATATTCGTTGTAGGCAATATACTTGTTTCCCTCAAGAAAGAGGACTCATCTTTAAGCATTTGCATCAAAAAGTCAGGTTTAATGATGTACGTAATACAATTGAAGGACTAATATTGCAATATAGATTGGATAAATCAAGATATGTCATTTCTGGATCACTCATTCCGCCTTCTACAAAATCGTAATTGTCTAAAACAACCCTGTGTAATAATGTTTGGGCTATACTAATTTGCATTTCATGTCATAGCTCCTTTAATGAAGAAATGGTTATCAAATAGTACTAACTAAGAATGGAATTTCTTCATAACAAATTAATATCTAATGAAAATAATGTACAAAAGGAAAAACCTTTCAGAAAACAAGGTTGTTCAAAAATGGCAGCAGGAGGAGGTGGCTGTTTATAACGGTATCTTATTAGTTAGTCAAACACAATGCGGATATACTTTGCTCTTAACCCACAAGGCATTCATCTTGTATATATAAATTGAAGCATCCCCTTTAGAGACTAAATAAATCATCATTCAGATAAAAGATCCCAAACTATCTAAATCAACAAGTATCAACGTGTTCCTCTTTAAGAATAATCTACCAAAGGTAATTAGTTTTATAGTCCTGAATGTTCAGGCTGAGTTTACAAAGTAACAAACTTCTTAATTTTCAAAATGACCCAGAGAAGATTATCTCTCCACAAAATTTTCTGAACAACTTAAACTATTCAAATCAGAAAGTAATACTTTTCCTTCTTAAGTCACTGATTAAAAGAATCCGTCATATAGCTATAACTATGAAACTGTCAAAGAAGGTCAAGTCATCAACAGCAGAAATAATCACTGAACAAGTCAACAATTTTTTATACCAAAGAAAAAAACACAAAGAAAAGCAGGTCTATCTGTTTATTACCAGGGCAGCAAATCTTTCAATGAAATGACTCAATTTAAAGAGGACAAGGGTATAATTAAATCAAAAGCAAAAAGAAGACTACAAGATGATGACTCTCACTAAGGAATTAGCCATTCTTGGCTTCAAAATCAATATGCAACATAGATATCATATTTTTTCCCACCCCACTCCGTCAGGAGAACCGAACCAATAGTGTTCTCACCTATCCTCAAGCTGGACTCGAACCCTCAAACCACCATTGATGGTGGAGGTGCAAGTCTCTCATGTCACATATATATCATTAGAATTAAAGTTAAAGAGAAGAGATCAAATCACTCAATTAACTCATACCAATAAACACCATGTTAAAAATGAAGTTATTCAGATTAATTTTTTCCAAGGAAATCACTTAATTTGAAGATGTTACTAGTATAAGTACACCTAACAAACCCCATATCAATAAAGATTACACTTGTTGATTTAACAGATGAATTATTCAGTTTTTTCTTCAAAAACATGAATACAAATAGCAAAGTAGATAAACAATACGAAATGAAGTGACAAAGATTCTTCTTTTATGACTTACACTTAAAGCAACCCATTTAACACGTATATGATGACCTCGAAATCAATCAAATTCACAAAAAAAAAAAACTTGAAACCCAGGTACTATCCTCCAAAGGGGTATCAAAAAACTTGAAATCTTGGAAAAAAAGTTGAATTTAAAAGAGAGAGAAAAAAAAGAGGGAATTGAAGAAGAGAAGAATGAAGTAGGAGAAAGAAGAAGACTTTTTGTCCATAAGTAGGGCCACTCAGTTTCATGCTTCGATATATTCACAATTATATTAATTGTAGAAAAAGAAAGGAAAAGGTCAGAATTACTGTACCAAAAGTTGCAAATTCTTCTAAATTTTCGAAAATGAAAAGACAAAATGTATATACAGACATACAACTGTATTTGCGTAAAATACTGGGAAAAAAAAAAGATATTTTCTTTTCACATTGGTACATTTGGATTTTGATTGGTTTTGGAGATTTTGCAAATTATTGGCATTTAAGTGATAATTACTTACATTCAAACACATGTTATACATTCATTTTTTTAAGATAAAAAATATTATTACTTCAAAATGTGAAATACCAAACAAGTATACCAATGAAACAAATGCCTCAATGAGCTTTAATTATGCCCCGTTCGGCTGTTTAAGTTTGTGGGGATTGGATAATTAAACTAATGGTATAATTCGATTCCTAATTGCATAAATCTAAAATCTCACTTTTATGGGAGTTTATGTCCTTTCTCGACCCTATCAAGCTCTTTTCGAACCTCCATCTCTTGAAGCTGGAGTAAGGAATTGTCCACCTCATCACCCCGAAGAGCAATGGCTCTGTTATTTTGCACGCCTACAGAGAGACTCCAAAAGTACCGACGCCGAGAACAACTGTAATTGAATCGGGAATGAAAAGACTTCACTTCAACTCAATACCCTTCCAAACCATGCTTCACAATCAAGCTAGAAAAAGACTAAGCAAGTGTTGTCCTAATGAAATGGTGCGGGCAGCAGATCCGACGAGCTCAACTTCAACTGAAAAGAGAGGGCTTCCCCCCCTACCCCCACCTTACCGCGGCTGCTGGCACAGAGTTAGCCGGGGCTTCTTCCTCTAGTCCTGTCATGATCGCGCACTCGACGAAAGAACTTTACAAGCGGAAGGCCTAAGAGAGATGGGGAACTTCTCTCCTATAAATCTTCTTTGCACGAGCTTCTGTAAACCCAGACTAGACCTTCATGATTTTTTTAGGGATTTATATAATTCGATTCCTAATTATATGAATCTAGAATTTGTATAATTCACTTCATAATTGTATAAATTCAAATTTTCCTAATTGTATAGATCTAGAATTTGTATATGGCTACCTCTAGCTTGTATATAATTATTCTGTTGATACATTTGATTTGTTTAAATTATGTAAAAATGCATAAATACAAAATTTATATATACTTACCTTGTTTGTATATTGGCAAGCGAATTATACAAACAACAAACGAATTATACAAACGGAATGTCCATAGCAAACGAAACTATGACTATGGAGCATAATTAGGCAAACTGTAACTAAGGAGGCTTATTAAGTTTAATCTTTTTACTATTTATGAAATTTCCTTAAAAAATATTGTAGTGTATAGTGAGGTTAGCGTAGTGAAAGAGAGAGTTGAGTCGAAGAAAAATATTCCAAGTTTTCTACTAATTCACTATACAAAAGAGTAATTTTATGTTGATTAATGAATATGTTCTTTTTGTGGAGCTTTGAATTCTTCAACTAATCGAGAATTGTTTGAGTTGTACGACGTTGTTGAACTGTCGTATCCTAGAGAGGACAAGTCAAGAAATATACTATTGGATCAATGTAGATTATGTTGCATTGGGCTTAAATCTCCTTAAAAAGAGCGAAATATCTGCGCCTCAGCCTGAATGCTGTTTTATTATTAATTTTTCAATTGTAATTTATTATATTTATGGTATATGAACTTGATCGTAAATGAAGAAACTCGGAACTGAAAGAAAGAAAGAAAGAAAGAGATACAAGAGAGATGATCTTCATTGATGGATATCTAAAACTGCTCAGTACAAACAGTAGAGGTGATGTGTATAGCTCTCCCTCTTCAATTAGTAACTAACTAACTCACATAATGACTAATCCACCCTTAATGTCACTTGACAGCCTAACTAACTTCTAATCAGTTCTTCACATCACAACAGAACCAACAATATATATACAACATAATTGGATTTCTCCTATGACATTAATAACAAATTGACATACTTTCGATGAATAAAAATACATAGTATGCGTTCAATATTGTGGATTAATGGGAAAAAAAATACTTTAAGGAGAACAAACGATGCATTAAAATATTTTTTACGCATAAGTCATTTTCAAGTGCTAAACATTGCATAAGTTAAATTTTGTAACCATCAAAAAAAAATAACCATCACACTAAAAAGTAAACTCATCTTAGTATTTGGTGTTAATAATCAAGTAGGTTTAAGGAAAACTACTAATTTAATTCTTTTAGAAAATCATAAGACACAATTTTTTTTAAAAAAAAATCTCACAATGTTCCCTAAAGAGCGGTAAAACACTAAAAAGTGTAGATTATTAATTAGGATGGCAGACATGAATTAAATAATTAAAATATCCGAAAGACACGCGAAACTATTCGGATAAAGAAGAGAATATATGCTTTCCCTATAATAATAAATAAATTATCCTTCTTAGACGGCTTTTTTTTTCCACTAATGGAATCAAATATATATTTTTAATTAATGGATTGTTCTACAAGGAGTTAATGACTTATTTATTTTTTTACCCCACCTTAATTTTTTTTTACTAAAACATAATTATAGATTTTTTTTGACGTATACTCAATATTTACATCAACCAAATAAATGATGCAAGACTCACTTTGTTACATACAATTTTATAATAATTCACTGGAGATGCTATGAGACTGTACATTAATATATATATATATATATATATATATGGACAAGTAAAAGTTTTAACTTCTTTTTTAACAACAATTTCAATTCTAAAATGTGAAATGCTAGGCAAACAAAATGATGAAACAAACACCTCAAGGAGCTTAATATATATATAAAATTAAGATTTTTTTGATTTTTTTTTATTTCAATTTAAAATTATAAATCAACCTTAGTTCAGAAATCTTAATAATTCAGTTGATTAACTACTTCAACTTTCACTTAATTAAGTAAATATTCTGAGAATTCAACTTTCACTTTCGATTCTCCGATTTATAATTTCAACCACTCATTTTAAAAGAGAAATGAAATGAAAAGAAGATCAACCTCAAGTTTTGGTCAAAATCATTTTCTAGATATTTTTTTTTCTTAAAAAAGAATTGTGAGAGAATATATCATAAAAGCAAATTGAAGTAGATCTTTATTAAATGGACCATTGGAAGATATACAGCTCATGAGCACCTACACAAACAAATTTCAGCCAATTGACAAAAAGACGTGTTATTTAGGTCCCAACTACTCCACAAAATTGAGATAAATATCAAACATTATAGTATTATTTTTTTGTATAATCAACTAAGTTGCTTAAGTTTCACCAATTATTTAATTAGAAAAATAGTTTTTGAAAATATTATACGAAGAAGGTTCTTTTTTCCATATATATATATTTTAAAATTTGTCTAAGAAATGACTTTTTTTTTTTGGAAAATTATTTTCTCTTCCTACTTTATATTTGCTTTTTACATACTTAATTTTGAAATATATTTTATTTGAATTGGCGAATTATCATAAACAATTTTTCTACTTTCATAAAATAAAATAGTAAAATTATGTATATATTCTTCTTCTCAAACTGCACTTGTACAATTATATTGAATATAGTCATATATTATGAGTTGTGATTGTTATTTTTTCTTCATACTAGACACGTCCTAAGTTGAATTTATGTAGATTAAATATATTAAACAAACGAATATTAATATGTACGGTTTTTTTTTTTTCTAATTTCATTGAATAAAAATTATTACGAAGTTGATTTCATGTATGATAATTCAATTAATAGTTATTATCTTAATAAGTCATTTTTGTTAAGATTTTATATGAGATAATAACTATTAATTGAGTAGATATCTGAAAAATCTAACTAAAATATTACAAGGTTTTAGTGTTAATTTTTTTCAAAAGTTAAGAAGGAAGAATACTTAACCCTAATACGTACACTGTTTCTTTTATATCATTTATACCAAGTCAGATTTCAAATTATATAAAATGTAATATAGTTATTCTCAATTAAGTTGTAACAATATACTATGGACGCCTTTGACCATTAGAATTATCCCCTTTTTTACTGAAAATATTTTTATTTATTTGAAAATAAGTGCTTAGTTATGATTCTAAATACAATTTGAAATTGTGTTTAGAATTTAAAGAACATCAATAATCTTATTTTGACTTTTTTACTTTAATCATGTTTTTCTTTTTCAATTATAACCCTTTTTTTTTTAAATAAAATGAATTCATGTATATGTCACGTTTCATGTTTATATGAAAAGAATTTGTAAAAATTATAATTAAATACAATTTCATCCTCAACTCTCAAATAGTATGTACTAGCTCGTATATGATATTCAATCCATGATATTATATGACTATCATTTTGAGATGTTGCTCTTTTAAATCATATTTGATTGTATGTTTTAGGTAAATTAATCAAATTTGAAAAAATATATATTTAAATTCTATTTTTTAAAAATGAATAAACACAATTTCAACTATAATTCAATTTTAAAATAAATTTCAAATTAAATAAATAGTACTCAAAATTTAATTTTCATGATCAAACACAAAAGTTTTTGTTTTCTTTTTCTAATTTGAAAATATTTAAAACTAATTTTTGAGTCTAAATATGCAATATGTGGTGTTGAGGTGGGGCAAGTGGTGGTGGGGTGGTTGTTCACGTCAATCATTATCACACCCTGTCCTCGGACTAGCCGCAAACCCACTCTTTAACTTATTTTATTATCATTTTATTTTATCTATGCTATCTGCTTTCCTCTTTCTTATTTATGTGATACCGTTTAACTTGATATGATAGAATATGGTCATTAGTTGTTACTTGTTAGTAACTTTTGTAACCTATACACCTATTTCTTGTAACATTTGGGCTATTTGTCTACCAAATTTACTATCCATTATTTTCTTATTTATTGCAAG